TTATCGGTAATTTTATTTGTTTTGGATCGAAGCGATCGACAATTTTAACGTCGTCCTCGTTCGTTTCGCCGTGAGATGAGAACAACAAAAACCTCATTCGCCGGACACGCGCGGTAAATAAGTAGAAGAGGCCCAGAACACGTCTAATCAGGAACGGACAGTTTCTACTGCGGATACCACTTTCTATGGACCAATTTACTCGTGAATTAATCGCGACTATTTAACTATTTAACCGAACAACTTTTCATCCTTCCATCTATTTCAAGCTCTCTTGGCGCGAATTCTCTTTGCGTACAAAACGTTTCTAAAATTTCGACAAAATTTGAAACAGATTTAAATTTCCGTTTCGAAATCATTGATAATAATTTTGATAATCAGATCGTTTTGCACACAACGGTTAATCGTCCATTGATTCGTGATGCGAGTCGTCTTCTGGGTTGCGCAACGGAACGACGGAGAGGATTGGAAAAAAAAAAAGAAAAAGAAAACAAAGAGAAAAAGAAAGATTTCGATATTCTTCGAAAGAGAACTTTGTTCAAGCCTCGCCGAAACGCAACAACGCATGCAACATTGTCGCTGTCCTCCTTTCCCTTTGTTTCGCTTCATCGAAACATTCATTCGGCTACAACGCATTCGGACAACAAGTACAAGCTTGGCAAGGTTGCTAACTACCAGAAGAGCGCGTGGGCGCGATCGAGCCGACATAGGGAACAAGTTCGAAGCTTTTATGTCGTCGGGGCGAAATCATAAATAATACTCGGCGGATTATCGGGCGATGCACGCGCGGCGTCGTACCCCAGCCCAGGCGAAATGTTGTCGACAAATTAATTCTGCCAGCGCGGACGGCGCAAGCGCCACGAAACGCGAAGCTCGATGAATAATGAACGGTTGTTGGTTGTCAGACCGAATGAAAGTAACATTGAAAACGATTAAGCAGCGAGGAAACCGTACTCCGCTCGCTCTTATGTATATCGTTTTACCACCTTTCACCGCGCCTCCACCTTTATTCCCTCTCAAAGTTGAACTGAAAATTTTCCAACGATGTTTCGGGCTTGTCGTTGTTTTTTATAAATTGTCCATTCTTCATTCCTTTCAACCCTCGTTTCGATTACCATCTTCGAATTCGATTCCTGTCGATCGATAACGATCGATTGGAGAGAATTTAAAAAAGAAAGGAACGCGATAAAATTCTCCAAGGAGAGTAATTCTCCGGATAGGTCGCGCCACTTTAGCTCCAATTAAAAAAGCGAATACTTAATCTCTCTCTCTCTCTCCTTCTCTCCGCGGGGATCGTGATTAATGTTTCAATTTCTCGAACGAGACTTGGCGGCCACTCCCGAGGACAATTAAGACGAAGGGGTTCGAAGCGAAATTTTCCCGCGATTTCTCGATCGAGAGTTTTATCGTCACTTTCGATCGAGAGAGCACAGATTTCACGACCGAGGTAATTACAACACCACCGACGTTCCTTCCAAGCCGAGGGGCAATTAACGCGGATGACGGAGGAGCGTCCGAAACCACCGAAAATTGGGCACACGTGGCCCACACCTCTCCCCCGATATTTCCGCGTCCCGCACTTTATCTCGGACGAGGCGGTGCTTAAAGGGAGCCAGGGCGCCGTAATTAAATGCCGGCACCTCTTGGCCCCGTTATCGCCAGAAACGATCGATCGATGGACACCTTTCGAAGGACACCGAGGATGTCTTATTTTTTTCTTCTTCTTCTTCTCGTGTGTTACCCGTCCAATTCTCTTTCTGGAACAGGGGACGTTCCAGGGATCAAGATCGTACGAAATTTCGAAAAGGAAAGGCTTGAGAAGAAGTATCCTTCGGGATATTTTGCAATGGAGAAGGAGGATTAATTGTACGAATACTTATTCGACTCGAGAGGACACCGAGGATGTCTTATTTTTTCTTTCTTCTTCTTCTCGTGTGTTACTCGTCCAATCCTCTTTCTGGAACAGGGGACGTTCCAGGGATCAAGATCGAAAAGGAGAGGAAATGTCCTTCGGGAGAGGAGGATATTTTGCAATGGAGAAGGAGGATTAATTGTACGAATACTTATTTTTTTACTCGACTCGAATGAATGGTGGGACGAAGGGACGGTGAGTCAAGATCGCGTGGAAAATAGGAAGAAGAAGTTGGAGAAGAAAGAAAGGATTAATTATATCAGGCATATTTTTGTTCTTCTTCTTTTTCCTATCCTTTTTTTCGCTTCTTCGAAAAAGCTGAGACAGGAAATCAAGATCCATCGAAAGAGCGACGTTTCTTCCTATAGAAAGAGAACAAAGTATCTTTATTCTTGCTCTTTATCCTCGTCTAATTCTTTATTCTCTCTCGATTAAAGAGAAGTTGAAGCAAGAGATTCGTTCGAAACAAGAACGATCATTTCTCGCGAAGGGAAACAAGAAAAACTTGAAAAACTATCCTCGAAAGGAAACTGTGCAAATTAGCAAAAAAAAAAAAAGAAAGAAAGAAACGATTAATTATATAAGGCATCGAGAAACTCGACTATTCGTCAATGGGGGAAACACGTGCGGCAATTAATCGCGCAAAGAAGAATGAAAATAAAAATGGCTCATCGAATTTGAACGTGTCCCGCGACACGTTCGTTCTTTTTTCCCTTTCTGCTTCGAACGACTTGCTGTTTCTTCTTCGACCCAAAAAAAAGGAGGGGGGGGGGAAGAGGAAACTTGCGTCACACAAAAAGAACGATTGAAATCTTCCCTGCGCCTGACAACCCGGCCAGGGACGTGGTCCGTTCGGGTAACAAGTGGCGATCGGTTATACGCGTTGCACCAACGGTATTTTACCACGCCGCAGGGACGCATTTGAAGATTCCCAGATGGAACGAGCGACGCGGATCAATTAAATTAATTAACGGCTACCTTCATTTATATACGTCTCTTCGATATACAATGTGAAAAAGAATTAAATAAAAAAATTGTCTCGATTCCTTCGAGACAAATTATATATCAATTATCATAAGTGTTAAGATATTAAAGTTAAATATTAAAGTTAGAGTAGCAAACGAGATATCCGAATATCTGAAACGAGGCGGTTCGATCGAAAGTAAAAAAAAATATTAAAAGATTTTCTTCTCTCTCGAAAGAATATACCGCGACGCATCGTGAGAGGAGAGCGCGAATGCGGCCCTGGAGGCGCACTTATGGTACACGTAGGTGAATGTCGGGAGAGAAATCATACCGGCAAGGACGACAGCGAGGGGGAGAGGGCAGAGGGTGAGCGGGGGAAAAGAGGGACAAACCACGCCCGACTCATCCCGACTTTCTAGAAACCGAAAACTGGATCGTGGCATGTGGATCTCGGCCGATCTCGACCCGAGAGTGTACCGAGAGCTTGATTCACGTAACAGATGTCAGGATCGTGGACCCCGCCTTTTCTTATTCTTCTCTTCTTATTTCGGCTACCGTTTCCCGCCCGACCGTTACTCACCTCGCAAGTCGGCCTCCACCCAACGGAGAAAGAACAGAGAGAACTCCTCCACAGAAAGGTGGAGATAAACCGCTTGTCCGAGGGAAACCAAATTCCGAGAAACACCGTCCCGAACGATTGAGCTCACAGGAAATCTGTGAAGGGAGCGTATCTCGGTTCCACCGTTGGAAATCGTTAAACCAACAACCAGCCTGTCAAACTATTCGAATTAACGAGCGAGAGCCTCGTAAAACGCGCCATTAACATCGTGTTATCTCGAGATCTTATTATTGTTGTTACGTGGCGCTACCTCTATATGCAGCCGTTACACGATATTCGTACACATAGTATAAAATTTGCATCGTGTGTTGCAAATGTATCGTATCCAGTCCGGGCTGAAAAAGAAAAAAATAGGCTATGATATAATTATTTGGGAAAATAATTCAGGACGTGCTATTCATGGGCATGGTGAACAATCGCGGTGCAGATCGGCCTTCTTTCTTTACGTAGAAAAAAATCTCTTTCTCCTGTCTCCGGATGGGAACAGGGGAAAGTACGATATGTAAATCAGGCTTAATCAACGACATCTAGACGAATGACACGCTACCCGTGTGTATATATATATACATATATCGATTCCATCTTCGATGGGAGAAGGAGAGGAGAGAACGGCCAGCGGCCACCTTTTATTGTTGGAATTCAGAATTGGCGGCTTTCTCGCTGTAATTCCGGTAATAAAGGCTAGGAGCGTTATTAAAGAAGCTCGAGAACCGTTTTCCCGGCGAGGAATTTATCTCGTTTTTTGCACGCAAGGATGGGTCTTAACGGACGAAAACCGTTCGGCCGTTCTGGATCATCGGTCGCAACGGTGTTTCTACGCACTTTCGATTCCAACCGGACGCTCCTCCGGTCTCTCGTCACGTTCCACACACACACACACACACACGCATCGTGTAATTAACGCTTTTCACTATTGTCGGTCGCGAGCTTTTTGCTCCTGCTGCTTTTACGCTTAGAGCATTACGGGTTCTTGCACCGCAACGGAATGGCAACTCCCCTCCAACCGCGCGTTCCTCCGTCCATCCAACCCTGTCACGAGTGGATTTCTCTTTCGTTGAACGAGCCAGCTGAGGATTAGGTTCTTCGGTAACTGGATCGACTTGCGGGAAACGACACCGGCTGTGAAAGGAGATGTTGAATTAGCGAGAGGTTCCTCCATAGGGAAACTCGATTTCCCTGTTAAATATTATATAAATCGCTGATCCCTTAAACTTTGATCTATTATTATTATTGAAAACGTCGATCTTGCCGAATCCTCGTTACCCGGCATTGAAATCACCGTGTATATCGCTTATGCGAGCGTTCGAGTCTCCGCGACATCTTCTCAAATTGTATAACAAATTCTTCAAATTTTCCTTTCAACGATTAATATAACGACGAAACACGTTCGAAAGCGTATATATATATATATATACACACGCATATAATTGATATAAACGACCCGTGCTCGAACGAATGTTAAGAAAAAAAAAGGAAAAAAAAAAACTTGTCGGTGAAATTTTTCAGATCATTCGGAGCGAGGAGCAGGAGCAAAGCCGAGGGTGATAGAAGCGGGTGTGATGAGCGGATATCTCGGTAACATCCCCCTGCCCCCAACATTGTTGCACGACCCGAAGTATCCTCCAGCCATGCGGGAGAAAGACTCGAGCCCGAGAAAAATGCCGGGCCACATAAGCCCGAAGCAGGCGAGCATATATCCCCTGAGCGTCCGTGTCCCGGACGTGGAAGAATTGCCGTACGACCTGAGCCACGGCCACGGCCGCGGCCTGTCCAGCCCCACCAATCAGCAACAGCACAGGCAACAGCCCCACATGAGCCCGGCCGCGAGGCCCCCTCAATCTCACCACCAGGAGGATCTCGACTGCGTCGAGCCGTTGGATCTCCGCGTCGATCACAAGAAGGAAAGACTCACGGACGAGAATCAGAACGAGATCGAGGTTCTGAATCAGAACAGCCTGGGTGGTAGTGGAGGAGGAGGAGGAGGAGGAGGAGGCATCCCGTATCACACGGTCCTGTTCCCCCAGCATCACACCGTTCACCCGTTGGTCCTCGAAGCCATGTACCGGTCCCATCATCACGGCTCCTCGGTTCCCGACCTACCCAAGATCCAGGTGCGAGCGTTGCCCACCATGGTACCGTTACCGCCCAACAGATTCTCTTCCACAGCGTCCACCGCGTCCTCCGTTTCCTCGCAAGCAGCGGGTAGAGTGCCAAGCCCCTCGGCCGGCCAGCAACATCAACCGTCCCCCCAACAAAGTCACTCGAGTCAGCAGCAGCAACAAGCGCCATCCGCCATCCCGCCTTACTCGATCAGCGTCCAGGCAGGTCTCAAGCCGAAGGACAGATACTCGTGCAAGTTCTGCGGTAAAGTGTTCCCCAGATCGGCCAATCTGACGCGGCACCTCAGGACTCATACCGGTGAACAACCGTACAAGTGCAAGTACTGCGAGAGGAGCTTCAGCATCTCGAGCAACCTGCAACGCCACGTCAGGAACATCCACAACAAGGAGAAACCGTTCAAGTGTCCGTTGTGCGAACGGTGTTTCGGGCAACAGACCAATTTGGACAGACACTTGAAGAAGCACGACGCTGACGGGCCGACGATACTCGACGAGGTTAGATCGAGGTATCACGGCCAGTTGCCGAGGGCGGACGAGTCTTATTTCGAGGAGATTCGAAGCTTCATGGGCAAGATCACTTCCCAGAGACAGGGAATACCTTATTTCCCTGGGTTGCTGGGACACGGGGGGGGAGACGAGTTCAGGAACGACAAGCAACAGCTCCAGCTGGAAGAGAAGAGGGGCGACTCTTCCTACTTCAGCGACAGGGATAATCTGAGCTCGAGGTCGAGCAGCACGGCGAGCAGGCCCGAGAGCGTCCAAGAGGAGCAACGAGAAGTTAATTCCCCTCCGCTGTCACCTGGAAACAACACCTGAGTCAGGGGATCGTACGTTCGAACGAATGATTTTCGTTATGGTTAAGTAATTAAGGGAGATCGAAGCGTTCTTGAACGTTCTTCTTTGAGAAGTTTCCACGAAAGTGGAATTATTTTTTGTTTTTCTTTTTTTTTTTTTTTTGTATTGAGAAGAGATAGATCGAATTTTCGCTTTCAACGATAAGACGTAAATTTTATGAGTTTATTTTTTTTTTTTTTTTTTTTTTTGCATCGAACGAACCGAATTTTCCTATTCCCGATGAAATTTCGATAGTATTCGAGTTCTTCGAGTTTAGTCAAAGAGGTGCCTTAAAAAAATGTGCCTAAAATGTTCGAAGTATTTGCAATGCAAAGTTTCTATTACAATTAACTAAACGAAGTTAGTTATGGCAAACAGCAGATATTAGATACCAATATTTTAATATTGTTAAACGTCAGCGTGCGTTTTGATTACGGATTAATTAGGTATGTAAATAAGTTTTTTATTTAAAAACAAAATGCCGTTTGATCTTTATTTTATAATAAATTCAATAGTGTCACGATTTATAAATAAAATATGTAATACTACTTCTTTGAATAGAAAATTAATTTACATGCCTAATAAAACTGTGTGAGACCATCGTTCGTAAATTAATCGTCGAAGGAATTGACAATTAATTGGGATAAAATTATACACGATCCTTTAAAATACGATATTCCCATTCCCATTCTCCGAAGATTAATTTAATCGAACGTTTATAATAACAAGAGTCACGGAACATTATTAGCGCGAATTGTCAAGTTATAATTGAATATTTTTATCGTCTTTATCTCTTTTCTCGTCAAGCCGTTTAAAAAAAATAAAGGAAAAAAAAAAAAAAAGAATCATCGCGTTATTGGATCGTTCACTTTCCGGATCAAAGCGGGGGCCAGATCGTTTTCAAGGAAAGAGAATCGAGGGGGGAGGAAAAAGAAAAAATAAAGTGGCGGGAGAAAAGTCCGAATAAACGTCCAAATAAATACGTTCCGGATGGAAAGGATAGCTGAAAACGACGCTTAGCGATTTTACGACCTAGAAAGTGAATGTCAACCGCTCCATCGCCTCGATCCCGATACCGATCGCCGATCCACTGACGACAGACAATAAAATAGAAATCGATGGGCGGATCTGCGGGTTTGTTAATCGGCTGCCACGAAATCGTCCTCGGCCGGAAGGAAACTTTGCGACACGAGCCATTAAATTCATCTTTGAGGAAGTCTGCGACGAAATACCTTCGTAGCAGTTTCGAACAAATGGTTTCCGCGAACCAAGAGATTATTAGAAAAACAAATTATCTTGGAATTTTAAAAATCTCAAAAATTCGATACGTGTGAAAAATCCAGTATCAATGTGAAACCGAAAATTAGGAAAAAAACTCTAAAAGAGTTGGAGAATTACAAAATCAAAATAAAAAAACTTGGAAAAATTGGAAAATCGAATATTGACGATCAGAAGGTAGTAAAGAAATCCAGGAGTCAAAAATTGCAAGAATTAAATACTAAAAAAAAAATATTCCGCGATTAAAAAATGATTAAAAATCCTGAGAAATAAATCGAGAAAATTGAACGTTCGAGGAATCTCGTCGCGTCGGGGATAAGCAACGCATCGAACGCGGTGGGAAAGCGCGCAGGAAAAGCGGTTTCCTGTTGCGGACGATTAGACAGAAATGATGATCGGATGAAACACGGACAAAGATGCTGCTGATCTCGCGCGATCCCTCTCGTTTCCTGTTCCCGGGGCGAAACGATTCGATCGCCTTCCGCGAGAATTCGCCACTTTCTAATCGGCGCGAGTGCGCCACGGGTGGCGCTTCGACCTTGGGGCTTCGATTAATTACGATCCGATTTAGATCGGCACGACGAAAGGGAACACCGTCGAAACGCTTGTCAAATTGGATGGTTACGCGGACGATTCGTAATCGTGCATATCCAAAAACCCATCTCGGATGGAAAGTTGGATCGGTTTCGTGCGATCTCGATTCAATGAAATTTCGTTGAACAATGGATTATTGAATTGCTCGATCGAAAGGAACACGGGGATTATCAAATGGTACCAAAGAAACGAGACGAAAAATTATCGAGATTGAGAAATGTGTTTAAATTAGAAGAAGAAAAAAAATCGAAGGACGCAAGTTGGGCAAGCGAGAGGGAGTATATCGAATGGACCACCGGCGCGATAGTAGGTGGCGACTTATCCATACTTTCTACCGTGTATATAGAGACATTCACCGCAAGTAGCGCAGGTGCAGAGTTGCACGATGGCATCACGCGGTCAGGAGATCATCTTGACCTTGGTGAATCCGATCGACTGAGCGGCTGGGCGTCTTCTCGAAATTCGCAACGCACCGAGCATGTTCGTCCAAGATTGGTCCAACGAGGTCTGATCGGTGACGCGTGAGAAACCGATTCGCGCTTTCTAATTCGAAGTGTCGGCGATTTTCTAAATTACAGGAGTAGCCGGATAGATGAAACGGGGAACGTCGCTAATCTTGATGGTTCGATAAAAATCTGTTATCGCGATACGAGTGGGAAAAAATGGGACGAAAAAAGATCGAAGCTTTGCTACACGTGTGATATGTGAAATTAATTCAAATTGAATGCGCGCCATTAAATACAATTTGCAATATTCGCAGTACGAATTAACGAATTAACGAACGACGAGAAAAACGAATAATCGAATTATTTGAATAAGAATAAAAGAAACTGGCAACGAAATATTCGATACGAACGGTAAGATAAAATTTCAAAATCTGTGCAATATCCAGGAGAGAATGCACAAATGAAATCAATCGAACAATTTGAATAAGAATAGAGAAGGGATTGGCAACGAAATATTCGATACGAGCGGTAAGATAAAATTTCAAAATCTGCGCAGGAGAGAATTCCTAAACGATTCCTAAAAAGAGGGAAAGAAAAAGAGAGAGAGAGAGAGGCGGTGGTATTTATTTCGTTGCACCGATGCACTCCTTATCGTGTAGCCAGAGGATCCAATATGGCGGCAACTACGCGTCCACACAAAATCCATTTTAAGAGCGAGCCGATTTCGTAAGGAGACCGATGCAACACCGTTACGAGGACGTGGCCCGAGGTGTGACTAAGCATCCAGTAGATATTCTCTCTCCTCCAGTGTGGCGATACGCCGCTCGGGAGGAGGATGGCAGGCCCTGTTTTTCTTGCCTCACGCATCACGATCCGATGGCCTCGGACCTCTGTTGTTGCGTTACACTTTTGCCACGCCCCGATCGGACGGGCAAACTCATCGCGAAAGTGAAACGCAATAAAGGAGCCACGCCGGAGCGAGAGAGCCTCGACATCCATGAAACGGCCGAGCGGAGAGGCTACACGCCCGAGAGAAGGAACGAGCCGGCCGTTCTGTATCCGTGATACGGAGAGAGAGAGAGAGAGAGAGAGAGAGAGAGAACGGTGGACGAACGAGGTGAATGAGAAAAGAGAAAGATCGATCGAAATCTCAAGGCTTGGAAATCGGTTTCCTCGCCACCTACCACAGCCGTTGATCCGCGACCGAATGTAGGTATCTTCGACCAAAATTCTCAGGCTGGCTTTGGCTCGCCGTTCCCATTGCCGATGTTACTCCTTAAAATAATATCTTTCCATTCGTTTCATTTTCAGAAATCGATTTGAACTCTTATGCCAATAGTAGATATGTTACATTATTTTCTTTTCTTATCGAAATATGAATGAAAATTGAACCCTTTTTACATCATAGCTCATATTCACAATATTTGCTGTTCAATTTTTCAAATAGATAGATTATACATGTATATCAGAAATTGAACTGATATGGTTAAAAGTCGAAAATAATATCGGCATAAGAATTACATTGTACAACATCAATGACGTTACATAATCGATTTATGGATGATATTATCTTCGTGCCAAGCAATTCGTCGACCAGTTCCAGTAGTAAAAAAAAAAAAAGCCGCGAAATTTCTCGGGGACGGATCTATCCGCGAAATCACGGCACGTCCGCTCGCTTTTTCGATCTCATCTCGTTCCAGTTTGTACGCGTGATTTCACTGGACGGGTCAGCCTGATTCAAATTACGACAGCTTGTTGTTACGAGACCGAAGGAAGAAGCGTCGTACAAAAAAAAAAAAAAAAGACAGATGCGTACATTTCTGAAATTTAGAGAAAACTCTGTTAGAAATTTATGTCCATCGTGAAATTCAAATCGCAGTGAAACTCCATTTATATATGAACGAAATTTTAATATCTGATTTATTTGAACCTTAAGCTTCATTTCTAGAAATTTGAAATTACAGAACGAACAATAAAAATCACATGTAGATGGAGTTCCATATGTACTTGCCTATTTATCTTTCTTACATTTTTTAAGTGACAATTAAATCCCCATACAAATGTTTTTCTTCATTATGTGTATATACGTATTCAACGAATCGAATCACATATTAGCGGAAATATTAATATAATATTTATACGTATAACTGTTAGAATGTTTGAAACGAGGCTCAATTTAGTTAGTCGAAATCATTAATCGTAAAGATGTTATCGCGTATCGACGAGTTTCTCGAGATCTGCTACGTTTGCCTAACTTTTCTTCTACAATTAAATATAATTTAATTTCTAACATAAGATTCTCAGCCAATTATGTTTATTCTCGCACAATCGAATTAATATTATTAAATTTTACAACGTGACAAATAACGTTGAACTCGTCGATGAGCATACTAACTCCCGCGAAGAATCTTATCTAAATATCCGACGAACAAGAACTCGAAATAAAGAGTCCATTAAATGGACGAAGACAATTTGTCAATTTCAACCGTAAAGGCTATCCATCCGTTAGGGTCGACATATTTCACCCTAAGCAAACTGTTTTCACGCAACTTTCTTTTTTTTTTTTTTTTTATTAAAAAAGATAGCATTTAAGAGATTAATATCGAAATCGAGGGGGTGACGTTTCCGCGCGTCCCACCCTCCGCGATTAAATTAGTCAATCGTGCGCGAGGTGTACCGTAAGCGGATCGTAGAATCGATAGGAAAGAGTACCGTTTTAATTTTGATACATAGTATACATAAACATAGAGATCTATATGCAAAAATCGATATAAATATAATATATACATATGTGCGTGCGTGTGTATGTAAATCGTACGACGATTGTGATTTCACCGAGGTTACCGAGTTATACG